GATTGTTGAAGAGACTTCTTTAGGCTACAGAATGTCTGTTCATATTTAGGCTCCCAAAAGAGAGGTTCTGTTACTGAAGGCTTGGTTAATTCTCAAAGAGGTATCGCAGTCTCAGAAAAACTTGTTACACATTTGTTGAAATATCCAGTTAAACCCACATATTTCCTTCAATTATTGTTTTGTAAGGGTCCTAGGATAAGATTGGATGGTCTTCAGTCCATCAGGAGAGATGTTTTGACTTTCTGAGATATGTCACGGCCTAAATAATAGACTAGACCTTGAAGAAATTACATTTATCTTTCAGAATTTATAAAAGTCCCTTTTCTTCTAGGGCTAAGCACAAATAATTGGGATGTTTTTGAAGAGCACTCCTCATTGTCTGAACAAATTAAGAGATCATCTACACATTGCACCATAACTGAATCACAAAAGAATTTAGATTCTTTAAGTCTTAATTGAGAACCTAGGAAAAAATATGAGTGGCCTTCAGTGAACTTTTGGAAAATGGATATCTAGGTATATTGTCCTTTCCAGCAGAAGGTGAAAGATATTGATTTTTCTGCTCTAGAGGCATACCACAATAGAGAAAACATACAATGAAACAAGTTTCTTATAGGAGGAATTATTTGCTCAGAGGATGCTATTAACTCCTGCTGTCTTTGTTCCATTTTCCTCTGTATAAAGATACCACACAGGTGGTAGGTATTTAAATAACCCACAGAGTTTCCCTATTATCCTCAACAGTGATCCTGGACCTCTGATTGGAAATCATTCTTTCCTGCTCTGTGATATCATTCCTGCAAGTTGCCTCAGGAGGAAATGATGAAAGATTGCTATTTGGGTTAGGTACTACTACTGAGAAAAGATGAATAATAGGTTTGTTGAAAGCCTTGAGGTATTTAACAAATTAATATCCTCATCCAATTGTTTTATTTACTGGCAGGATGGGAGTGTTACCAGAGCTAGTATTGGATATGAGACCTTTGTATATATCATGCAGCTACAGATTTGGGCCCTTCTTTGATTCTGGCCTCAAGGGATATTGGGAGAAGTTTGGGTATCAGTTTTGTAGAATCTATTTGAACTTTAATAGGTTATTCTATCTCTGATGCCATTGGAATTTTTAGTCCATGAGTGTCAGGTAGAGGAGCAAGATACTTATTTGGGATGTGAATCAAAAATTAAGAAGGCAAAATATATACAGTGCAGACACAATTCTTATGGATAGAGGGATCTTCTGGAACCATGAGAAACAGCCCCACTGATGTACATTTAATGTTACAATTCCATTTGCAAATAAAGTATCTTCCTATTAAAACTTTGGATTAAATCACAAAGCAGGAAGAAATATTTTCCAGTAAGGGACTCAGAGGTCACAATTAGAGACAAGAGGGAAAATCTGTGGGTTATTTGAAACGCCTACCACCTGCTTGTCATGCATATTCAGAGGAAGGTTTCTTTATTGTAGAAAGAATGGCACCTGTATCTACCAGGAGTCAATGAGCTTGACCCTTTGTATTAGTGAGCTTGAGCAGCTATGATAAAACAGCATAGACTGACTTAAAAAATAAATTTCTCACAATTCTGGAAGCTGGGAAGTCCATGATCAAGGTACCAGTGAATTCAGTTTCTGGTGAGAGCTGTCTTCCTGGTTTGCAGTTGACCACTTTCTCCCATGCTGTGTGTCAACATGGCTTTTCCTTGTTGTGTGTATGGGATGGTGTGTGATAAAGAGCTGGAAGTAGTATGGGGAACAGAAAGGGAGAACTCTCTGACGTTTCCTCTTATAAGGACACTAATCCTGTCAGACTGAACCACATTCTTACAACTACCTAATCTTTATTGCCTCCTTATAGGTAATTCAAATTTGAAACCTATTTACAAATATAGTTACATTGGGAGTTAGGGCTTCAACACATGGACTGGGGGCACAGTTCAGTGCATCAGTTCAGTTCAGTCGCTCAATCATGTCCGACTCTTTGTGATCCTGGACTGCAGCACACCAGGCTTCCAAGTCCATCACCAGCATCCTCTATATTTATAATTAATTCACCTTGAGTGTTTAAGGATAAGGCAGAATACTGGGCACTTTTTCCTTTCCTAGCACACCCCATTGATCTGAAGGATTTTTCTTTGTGCCTTGTCTTTTATTTGAAGATGGGACATTTTTTTTTTCCACTATCCCTTCTATTGATAATACCGCCAAGGTCTCTAAGAATCTACAGTTGATTAGGAAGTGGGCCACCTAATTGTTTGATCTGCAGGGCCACAAGTTTAAGTTCTTAATTTTTTATTCTAATACTCTTTTGAAGTGTTCTATATTCTAGGTGTTTTACTTTAGGTAAATGAGCTATTTTCCATTTTTATTTTTGTTTTCCAACTAGGTCTTTTAGATTTAACTCCATTGACAAAATTAGGTGAAAGGGCTAATCTGTTATATCAGCATCTCTTTAAACTCCCAATGTTGTCAGAAGAATTTTAATCTATCCTTAAAATTTCCTATAGATTGATTTTTTGTCTGTGTGGTTTTATTATGATATAATCAATTTTGTTAGAAATGTTTTGGGTATCACTTTTAGGATAATTTGCTCTACTTTTTTGGGCGGGGTGGGTGGTGTGGATGCTACACAGCTTGCAGGATCTCAGCTCCCCAATCAGGGATTGAACCCAGACTGTGGCAGTGAATGCACCAAGTCCTAACCACTAGGCCACCAGGGAATTCTGCTCTATTTTTTCTCTCTCCCCTACCACTTCACCATCAGGTTTATTGTAAAAAAGGAATTCTATAAGTTCCTTGTCAAGGCAATCCAATCAACTTCTGCCTTTTTAGGATTTAGCAACTGCTGCTGCTGCTGTTGCTGCTAAGTCACTTCAGTCATGTCTGACTCTGTGCAACCCCACAGATGGCAGCCCACCAGGCTCCTCTGTCCCTGGGATTCTCCAGGCAAGAACACTGGAGTGGGTTGCCAATTCCTTCTCCAATGCATGAAAGTGCAAATTGAAAGTGAAGTTGCCCACTCATGTCAGACTCTTAGTGACCCCATGGACCGCAGCCTTCAAGGCTCCTCCGTCCATGGGATTTTCCAGGCAGAAGTACTGGAGTGAGGTGCCATTGCCTTCTCCGTTTAGCAACAGGTTCTGACAAATATGTGTACAACTTGATATAGATCCATCTAGTCAAGGCTATGGTTCTTCCAGTGGTCATGTATGGATGTGAGAGTTGGACTATAAAGAAAGCTGAGCACCGAAGAATTGATGCTTTTGAACTGTGGTGTTGGAGAAGACTCTTGAGAGTCCCTTGGACTGCAAGGAGATCCAACCAGTCCATCCTAAAGGAGATCAGTCCTGGGTGTTCATTGGAAGCTGAAACTCCAATACTTTGGCCACCTGATGTGAAGAGCTGATTCATTGGAAAAGACCCTGATGCTGGGAAAGATTGAGGGCAGGAGGAGAAGGGGACGACAGAGGATGAGATGGCTGGATGGCATCACTGACTCAACGGACATGCGTTTGGGTAAACTCCAGGCGTTGGTGATGGACAGGGAGGCCTGGCGTGCTGCGGTTCATGGGGTCGCAAAGAGTTGGACATGACTGAGCGACTGAACTGAACTGAACTGATAGTTAATTTTATGTGTCAACTTGACTGGGCTGAATAATCCCCAGATGGCTGATAAAACATTATTTCTGGTGGTGCCTATAAGGGTGTTTGAAAAAGAGATTAGCAGTTGAGTCAGTAGACTAGATGATACCCTTCACCAGTCTGATTGGGCATCATCCAGTATAAAAGCCCACATGGGACAAAAAAATAAAGGAAGGCAAATTTACTCTGCCTCAGTCTGGATGTCCATTTTACCCTGCACTCTGAAATCAGTGCTTGTAGTTCTCTGATCTTTGGACTTGAACTGAAATACCACTAGCCTCTCATCTCAGATTAGGATTTATACCTTTGGCCCCTCTGGTTCTTTTTTTTTTTTTTTTTACTTATTTATTTATTTTTTTATCACAACCATAGTGTATCTTTTTTTTTTTTTTTTTTTACATGTATTCCCCATCCCGGTCCCCCCTCCCACCTCTGGTTCTCAGGCCCTCAGACTTGAAATGAATTACACCAATGAGTTTTCTGAACCAGTTCCGATAATAAATCTATCTCTCTAATCTATCTATCTATCTACCTACCTACCTACCTTCCTACCTATCTATCTATCTACAGTGGTAAGATAATTGTTGGAAAAGCATAGAAAGTCTGCACATGGAAAAAAGGGAGGTGGGGCACAGAGGACCAACAGAGATATAACAGAAGAGAGATTAGAAACATGAGGGGGTAGAGGGAGAGTTTGACACAGGGAGGCAACCTAAGGATGCATAACAACTTTATTTGATTCAAATGTTCTCCCTAGTTACTATTGAAAATCCAAATCTTAATTGCTGAAATCATGCTATTTTAGAAAGATAGGCACATGATTAGGACTGTAATGAGAGCACACATGAGAAGCAGGCATTTTTCCTGGAAGAGAGGATTTCAACTTAGGTAACTCCAGGAAACTGGCAACAGTGGGCAGAAATGTAATGCCTGTGGACTTCATGTCCAACTTGAAGGTGGTCATCTCTAAATGTAGGCCCCAAAACTGTGCTCCTCAAACAGGTGGAAAACTTTGATCTTTCTCTGGATCACTGCCAAGTTCTCAGCACAGAAAAAATAATCAACAGAGAAGGAAAATCTCATCTGGTTTTCTTGATGTCCCGTCTAAATAGATAGGTCCAGTGAGAATTGCAAACTCACTGTTCTAGGAGGCTGACTCCAACAATAGGTTTAAAAGTGCTATGCCTGTGTTCTACCCTGTGATTCTCCTTTTAGGAGAAACAACACTTAAACATCACAGCACAAAATAGTAATAAAATATAGTAAAAAGTAATTAAGAGGAATTTCCTGCTAAACTGAAAATAAATAGCCAAAGAACTCAATGCAAAGAGAACAGAGTTCAGATCTGGGACTGACTTACCACAAGGCATTTGATTGAAGGCTGAGGTCCATGGTGACAAGCAGTGCTGACCACACCTTGTTGAAACCTCCAGGAAAACTGTGGAAATAAACAAAGAGCACTCAAATGAGAATAAGCAAAAGATATTTATTCAGAGCTTGCAACAGAAAGGGAGTCAGCATCACTTGCAAATGGCAGAGACTCAAAAGCAAGCAGGAAAATGTAAGAGCCTTATGGTGGAAAAAGGGAAGTCCTCAGATATACCATAATTGCAGATTGCTGGGATGGCAAAACTGGAAGTGGACCAACTAGAAGTAGGTCATCCTATGCTACTGGTTAAAGGTGCACATTTTGCTTTCTCTTATTAGTCCTAAGTTGGAGGTAGTGAAGCTGGCAGTTATTGACCCACAACTGGCCATTTTGAGCTGACTGCTGCGGAGGTGGAGGTTTAGATTGTTGGGCAGATTGCTGCAGAGGTCAAAGTTCAATTTTTATGTGGTCTGGGTTTCTATATTAAACCTCTCAAGACCACGGTGGATGGTTAAAAGGTACACTGTGACTGTCTTGTTCTTGTTGAATAGCCTTTTGTTCATAATTGATAATAAATAAAATATACACTGAGACAATTTTTCTCCTGATCTCTGCGCACTATGCCTGTGTACGCAATCATGTCTGACTCTGCGAGAGTATGGACTGTAGCCCACCAGACTCCTTGCCCATGGGATTATCCAGGCAAGAATAATGGAGTAGGTGGCCATTTCCTTCTCCAGGGGATCTTTCTGACCCAGGGATCAAGCCCACATCTCCTGCATCTCCTATATTGCTGTGCATGCTAAATCACTTCAGTCATGTCCAACTCTGTGCTACCCTATGGACTGTAGCCCCCAGACCCCTCTGTCCACGGGGATTCTCCAGGCAAGAATACTAGGTGGATTGCCATGACCTTCTCCATGGAAGCTTACCACCAGGGATTGAACCCACATCTCTAATGTCTCTTGCATTGGCAGGTGGGTACTTGACCACTAGTGCCACCTGGGAAGCCTATATTGACAGGTGGATTCTTTACCACTGAGCTACCTGGGAAGCCCCTTTGAATAATATACCAGTGTTCAAAGAAACTGAAATCCAGTGACATATTCCCCAGTATTTTGTGGAAATAGCCCATTCCTCATTATCACTGCATATTTTAGAGGGGTAAGTATTATCTTGAGGGTAGGACAGGCTTTGAAAACAAGATTTCTTTAAATATCATGTGGGTTTATGCTCAGTGTTTTGCAGTAAAGCAAAGAAAATAATATTTAAATACTGTTGAAAGTAAACTGAGGAAACAATAACAGAATACCTGTATAGACTGTCTGATATTTGAGGGGTCTGATAGGGCTAGCTCCTGAATGGGAATGGGGAGTGCTAAGGAAAAATGTTGATAGAGTGGTAAGTGATGGTTTTGATATGTAGGAGAGAATGTGATTCACAACTGATATGTGATAGAAGTGCTAAGATGTAAAAAGAAAATCATTAAATCCAACTTTTAAAGTAGTGAAATAGAGAATTCAGAAAAATGTTCTCTGAGTGTTGTCTCTGAAAAGGACAAACATGGTCCCTGAGCACCAGAGGACATATTAATTTAAAGTGTATCATATGTTTCAAATACTCTAAAAGTCGATTTAACAAGATGATTATACTGAGTAGAAAAAAATAAACATACAAACTTGAAACTAGATAACAGATCAATTAAATAATAATTGACTTTCCTATTGTTGATTTTACTAACATTTTAATCTTACTAATTTTAACTGAATTCTAATATTTCCTATTGTACCTATACAAATATTGTTAAATTAATTTTATAGACATGTGAAATTACTTAATATTTGGAAAAGAACATTATATAGAGTACAAATTCCTTTAATATTCTATATTTAATTGTTCTAGGAAGAAGAATTTCCCTAAATAATTTTTTGGCTTCCTCTGTACTCAAATATGTACCAAAGTAAATATTTTCTATCTACATTAATATCACATTCCTCAAGAAAACATTCTCTTTTCTTTAGCTTTTGGTCTAAATTCCATTACAAGAAATCCATTTAACTTTACCTCACATAAATATTATCATAATAAATTTAGTATGTTTTTCATGTCATTGCTCTTAGTTAATTGTGCAATTTACAGCACTCTAAATGTTTCTGAGTTTTAAATAGTACTCTTCAGTACATTAGGAAAACAATGTAACATTTCCAAAGCAGTTTTGGTATGCAAGATTCCTCAGATTCAAACAGAACAAGTAGCTTAAATAATTATAACACCATTTTAAAAGTTCATTTACATAGTGTACCATAAAATCCATTTTATTAATTGGCAAGTAGCTCATGGAATGCTATGGCAAACACAAATTCCTGTGTTTAGTCGCTCAGTTGTGTCTGACTCTTTGCAACCCTATGGACTGTAGCCCAACAGGCTCTTCTGTCCATGGGATTTTCTGAGCAAGAATACTGGAGTGGGTTGCCATTTCCTTCTCCAAGGGATCTTCCAGACCCAGGGATCCAACCAGCATCTCTTGCATCTCCTGCATGGCCAGTTGATTCTTTACCTCTGAGCCATCAGCTTCCCTTAAAGAATACTGGAGTGGATTACCATGCCCTTCTCCAGGGGATTTTCCCAACCCAGGGATTGAACACAGGTCAATAGTCTGAACCGCAGGGAAGCCCAAGAATACTGGAGTGGGCAGCCTATCCGTTCTCCAGGGGACCTTCCCAACCCACAAATTGAACCGGGGTCTCCTGCATTGCAAGCAGATTCTTTACCAGCTGAGCTACCAGGGAAACCCAAACATACCTTGAATCAATGGAAAATGGATCATTTTATATTAAAAAGCAACTTTTGCTTGCTATTAAATTTAAACGATCTCAGCTCAAGGGGGCAGTGTACACTGAAGTATATACTGGAATTATAGACTATCCTTAGTCCGACAAGAATTTCTGACTTTTTAGGATAAGATTTCTTTTTTTCCTAAGTCATGTTTTAGAAGATAATAGCACTGTGAAACACAATATATTTACAAATAATATAATCAATACATGTAATAAATGTGTTCCATTTAAAAAGTGTATAGTAATTACTAAAATGCCTGCTAATACTAAACAGTTAGGAAACATCAAATTTAAAGCACATATAAATAATAGATTGAACAAAAAAAGATGAATCCCCTAGGCTGGTCTAAAGACCCAACAGAAAAGAATATAACTTTTTGAGAGACAGTTGATCTCATGCTAATATACCATGTATATCAAGTTATTCCATAGCTATATTCCGCATTAGTTAGGAAAGATCAATTAGGGAATGTTTCTAAAGTACTTGTAAATCAATAACTGTGTTGAATGAATCATCTGAACACAAAGAAAGCTACCATTTGGTGTGGGGTGGGAAAAATCAGGAAATAGATCTACTCAATTTTAGGATTTAAAAAGCTCTTTTACAGATTGTTTTAGAATTTGTACCAAACATATTTTCAAATGCCTTCTTACACAGTAACTGGTCAAATGATGGCTTTCATAGAAGTGGAAAGAGTCAGGAATGATTTGGTGGCTGAGAAGAAAGTATTTGAAATTATACCACATGAAGACACCATTATCTTTGCCCCTTAATACTAGGTATTATTTTTAATAATACTAGGTATTTTATTTTTAAAAAATTTACATTTTTTGAAACCTCAGTTTCTAGACTGGCAAATAGAAGCTAAAAATATCTACCTTGAAGAAGTAAAATATTAGGGAAAGTTTAAATATAATTTTTCTGTCTAGCTATGTCTAAATTCCATTAATAGGAAATATATTTAGCATTAATCCATATTCACATATTAGCACCCTGGGGCTGTTTCTTAATAAAGTTCCATAAACTGGGTGGTTTAAACAATAGAAATGAATTGCTTCACATTTCTGGAGGTTGGAAGTCTGAAATCAAGGTATCATCAGGGTTGGTTACTTGTGAGGGCTGTGAGGGAGGATCAGTCCTATGCCTCTCTCCTAGTTTCTGGAAGCCTCAGACATTCTTTGGGTTGTACATGGTGTTCTCAATGTATCTTCACATCAGCTTCCCTCTGCTCATGTCTATCTCTGTGTCCAAATAACCCCAGTCAAACTGGATATAACCCACCCTAATGACCTGCTCTTAATCTGATTATCTGAAAAGATCCTATTTTGAACTAAATTCATATATACAGGTGTTGAGGGTTAGGATATGCTTTTCGAGACACATAGAATAATGTGATATATTTCCATTTTCAAAAAATGTTTCTTACTCTATTTAAATTTAAATGGTATAAAAATGAGGTCAATATCTTATATAAGTACATTTAGGTGAAAAGAGAAAAAACAGACATCTGGAATAATACATACATTTAATTTATTTGTTTTAGCACTTAAATTAAGGTTTTTAGTTATAGTGTAACAAAGTTAAGAAAGGCCACCTGTAGAGAGGTTTGTGTGTTAGTTGCTCAGTCATGTCCAACTCTGTGTGACCCCATGGATTGCTCTGTCCACAGGATTCTCAAGGCAAGAATACTGGAGTGGGCTCCCATTTTCTACCTCTAACAATAGAGAGGTATTGTTACTTAAATAGTTCATTCCTCCCTCAAAGGCTCACATTTTGCCTCCTATATTTGCCTGGCACAGATGGTAACTCAAGGAAAAATGTCTGACATCCACTTCAAATTAGAAACTTCATGATAGTTTAGCTGCAAGCACTATAAGCAAAAATGAAATCAGTTAGGTTGAAAGATGCAATAAGAGTCAAAAGATCATGGCATTATAGAAAGGAAAGACCTAGAAGGGACACTAGAGACTATGAATTCCACAGACCGTAAATAAAATATACTATCTTTCTTAAGATCAGAATTTTTTCTTCAGTTTTGAGAAGGAATAAAGGTCTCAAATAACTCAATTTTACTCATGCTCTGATCTCAAATAATTGCAAAATGAAAGGAGACTCAGAATTCAGCAAGAAGGAAATCATACACCTCCAGTGAAGCTTAAAGAATATCTATGAAAGTCATTCAAATAAACTATCTCTCTTTATGGGGAAATAAGAAAGATACATTGTATCTT